TGACCTGCACTGTCAGGGGTGTGGCCTATTATGCTAATGAGTTCCTGCTGGGCTTTTTCTACAAAAAACCCCCCTGGATAGATAGATTCCATGTGTGCAGTGCAGTCAGGAGATCCTACAATCTTCTGGCTGCCAGAAGTTCTAGCTCTTTAGTGTCACCCAGCATGCACCATGAGGAGGCCAGCTAGAATTGCACCCCAGTGTCACAGGAATGTGAGCGTCATGCTTTCCAGTGAGATGTGATGGAGCTCTTTGAACTCTCCCCAACTGCGACTGAGTGGACTGAAAAATCTAGATATAAGTATTTAGGGTGATTGCCCAATAGGTCTGCATACCCATTGTATCAACTTGGTTACAGATTTTGTATTATTATGTACTTCCTCTGAGTAACTGTGCCATGTGATAAATAACAAATATGTGATGCAGAGTCAGGGTGGTGGTCCATCTAGCCCAGTGTACTCTGTTCTGACTAGCACTGGGTCTTGGGCAGACTCGAGAGTCTTTGGTTAGAGACATTTCTCATCATCTACCACCTGATCCTTTAACTGGAAGTGCCAAAGATTGAACCTGGAATCTTCTTTGTGCCAAGCATGCGAAAGACCACCAAGTTCTGGCTGCTTCATCAAGAGTGATTAAAATCTGGAATTCGCTGCCAGAGGATGTAGTGATGACCACAGTAATAAACAGTTTAGAAGGGGATTAGATAGGTTCATGGAGGATAGGTCTATCAGTGGCTACTAGCCAAAGTGGTGAATGAAGGGAACCTCCACATTCAGAGGCATTCAATCTCTGAATCCCAGAGCCAGGAGGCAACATCAGGGGAAGGTCCTGGCCTCTATGTCCTATTGTTGGCCATCCAGAGGAACTGGTTGGCCACTGGGTGAGACAGGATGCTGGACTAGATGGACCAGTAGTCTGATCCAGCAGGGCTCTTTTTATGTCCTTAAATGAATAAATCTTCATTGTTGGTGATTAATTTTTTTTTAATTAAAATGTTTATTCTTTTACAAAGTAAAGAAAGCAAACAAGTGAATAACACAAACACTCATAACGACAGGAGGGTATACATTAGAGGGATATAAGAGTTGAGAACACAGTAATTACCAAATGGCCCATGAACCAAGCGTAGTCTTGTTAAAGATCCAGGAGACAAAGATTGCTGTGCTGGACTTATTATTTGTCATATGACCACTTTGACACTGAAATTGTGATATATGTGAAGGACCAATTCCAGTGAGTTTTGCTTATTAAAAATATGTTGGGTAAATTTTGCTACAGTCCATAAAAAGGTCCCCATAATGCTGACGTTCAAAAATCCTAACATTGGCAAGGTTTGAAAAGCCCGTCGTTGCAAAATTTCATTATTGACGTGATGTTCCTTTTTTTATTTAACAGCTTAGAGCCCATGCGGTAGATATGAATGGAAACAAAGTGGAGAATCCAATCGACCTCTACATCTATGTCATTGACATGAACGACAACAGGCCCGAGTTCATCAACCAAGTCTACAATGGATCTGTAGATGAAGGATCTAAACCAGGTACGGTAGGAAGAGCTCATTAAATTGTCATACAGGTCTTCAAAGAGCAAAGTGCATCTAGATGTTCCTTTCTTTGCTTGTACCTTTTTGAACCTGAGGAATTACTGCTTATTTCTCCTTAGAGCTTTAATTGGGTGATGGATGGAGGAATTCCAAAGAACAGGACATTTTTTTAGCTCTGAAGTACAATTCAGGTGGGTAGCCGTGTTGATCTGAAGCAATAGAACAAAATTTGAGTCCAGTGGCACCTTTAAGACCGACAAAGTTTAATTCTGGGTATAAGCTTTCATGTGCATGCACACGAAAGCTTATACCCAGAATTAAACTTTGCCAGTCTTAAAGGTGCCACTGGACTCAAACTTTGCTCTATAGCTCTGAAGTACATTATTGTTTATTACTGGGCCAGTCTGTGCTGGAAGTAGGCAGATTCATGGAAGACAGATTCCTCAAGAGCTATGAGCTATGACTGCTACATCTGTGTGTTCCTCTAACTAAAAGATACTTGAGATAAACAAAAAGGAATGAGCATTACCATCATGACCTGTTTTCTTATGTGATTCAAGGGGCAGTTTGCTAGTGGACTTCTAGCTTCTGCACTCAGTGGAGGAGTGGGAACTGAGATGACAATGAAGGCGCTGAGCAGGTGTGTAACCACTGAGTGGGTAACAGTGCCCAGCATGGCTAATGAAACAATCAACTTGGGCATCAACAGGTTCTGGTGGTGGAAAGTGCCATCACTTAACGGTGGCCTCGTAGGGTTTTCAAGGCAAGAGGCAAACAGAGGTGGTTTGCCATTGCCTGCCTCTGCATAGCTACCCTGGACTTCCTTGGCGGTCTCCTGTACAAGTACTAACCAGGGCCAGCCCTGTTTAGCTTCCGAGATCTGATGAGATTGGCCTAGCCTGGGCCATTCAGGTCAGGGAGTCAAAAGGTTCTACCATCCACTTAAAAGCCAGAATTCATCATGGTTCTGATTTGGCAGCATGCTACCTCTGCCACTTCATGAAAACCTCCAGGAATTAGATTGCTGGGCAAGGTAGACCTTGGTAAGATCAAGCAAGGCAGTTCTTGTTTTTCTAACAATAGATGGTACACGGGCAGTATTGTGTTCTCAGGTGTGCCTTCCTAAGAAAGGGACAAATTGCCTAGGATAACAGTGCGCCATTTTGTTCTATTCTGTTCAGCAAGTTCTTGGATGCTAAGGGCAGCATACAGGGGCTAAGATCCAGAGTAGTGTTTCCAAGGATGCAGGGATTTCTGCCCACAGAGCCCCCCCCTCTCTGTGGGAACCCAAAATCCTGTTCTTAGAGCACAGGCAACAGGATTGGAGAAGACCCTTAGAGTCCAACAATATTCCCAAAGCTTTTGAAGGTCAAACCATCAGATATGAAAGTGACACTGAACTTCTGTACCATCAACCTGAGCCATGTTGTGATACCCAGAGGACATGATCCAGTACAGGACATGGGAAAAGTAGGACTGCAGCTAGTGAAATCCCACTGACTTCAGAAGGCTTGCTCCCAAAGAGATATACCCAGAATCACAGTCAGATTTCCATAATTACGAGTTCGTCCTTGAAAATTCCTCTCTGCAGTCCCGAACTGCCTTCCCCCCGCCATGTGTGTGCTATTGCAAAGAGAATGCTCCGTGACAGCCATAAAGAGATCACAGGGAACGTAAAAAAAGGAAAACCCTTAAGAATGTTGGGTTAGCCCGGCATCTGCATATACTCTATGAGACCTTCTAATCTGCATCTTCTAAGACCCAGAAAGAATTGCTACCAGCCTTGAAATGTCAGTTTATGGCAGTAGCATTCCTTCAGATTCAGACTCCCCTCCCCCCTGTAATTCACGTCATTGGTGGAAAGTGTTGTCAAGTCACAGCCAGTGTATGGTGACCCTGTAGAGTTTACAAGGCAATAGATGAGCAGAGGTGTTTTCCCATTGCCTGCCCGGCA